TGTTCAGAAATTGTTTTGGCCAAAACTAGGGTTGGGCGATATGGGCCAAAAAATTATCACGATAAAATTTTTCATATCAGTCGATATCGATAATAAATTTCAAATCTTTATTTCTTTCAAGTTTAAATGCAGATTTTTGCTCCTAAGTGAAAGTTGTAGAAATCAGACTGTTAATAGTGGTTTTAAACTACTCTTTATGGTCAGAACATGACAAACACTTCACGCTTTTGAATTCTTTACACTTTTCCAGTCATTTTTTCTTAGTTTCTGCATGTTCTAATGAGTGAGATTATTTCAAATCACGAAACAGGTTTGTGTTCCTGACTTTGATGACGTGCATCTTCAGCACGGTTTGCTTTTCAGGCTGCAATATTAATAATTTTATGTATTTTTGTCTCTCAGAAATGCACATTTGATAGTGGCTTGGGTTAGGATGCAGATGCACATTTATGTTCATTATCAAAAACAGTAACAATTGTAACAACCTCATTTTTATATGGTGAAATTGAATTATTCTGGTTGTTTGACTTTTATTAACATTAACCATTGTTCTTCCATAGTAGCATACATTTAGATCATGATAACCACAGTTAAAACCACACATAAAGCACCTCGGTAAAAATCTAACTATATGGTTTCTAAGTATTTGTGTGAAAAACAGTAGTCTATTTAGCATGCACAAACACTATAGCTTAAACACAAAAATACTGTAATTATATTCAATTACTCCTTTAATACATTTAATACATGTTTTAATAATATAAGAAAATTCTATATGAATATCCCACATTTCTGCCACAAATATGCACAGCCTTAAGTTATATTGTATTCTAAATTAAATTTTTCACTTACATTTAATTATACTATATTATATAATATATATGTTAGAATATGTAGTATTAATAATATTGTAGTATATTTCATAATATATTACTTATAATATATTATTTTGTTAAATGATGAAAAAAAAAGTACGGGAGCAAATCCTAAAAAATAGAATTTTTGTATTTACATTTCATATGCATTTTATTTATACATTTAATAATAGCTAAAAATTAAAATGTAATGTGTGTTTGTATAATTTTGTTAAATAATGAAGATATCACAATGGGCCAAATCTCTTATGTATTATTTATAATTTTTTTAATATTTTTTTTTTACATATTTAATAATAACTAATCTCCATATCATTTTTATTTCTAAATGAATAATTTGATTTTAAAATTAAATAAAATTACATTTAATAATTCTTTTGCTCTTGTGCGATGAAATATGACTGAAATTGTTGTGAGATTTACCTACAGCACTGTGCCGTTCTGTGTTTTAACGGTCCCGTGTGTTTAACCTGTGGTTTGTTCAGAATGGCGAACAGCGGTCGCACCATCATCCTGTCCATCCATCAGCCGCGGTACTCTATCTACCGGCTGTTCGACAGCCTCACGCTGCTGGTGGGAGGAAGGCTGGTGTATCACGGGCCGGCTCAGGATGCCCTGGACTACTTCATGCAGATCGGTATGAAAACACACACACACACGTGAACAGACCCTCACATCCCGATACTGATGCGTGTGTGTGTGTCTCAGGATACACCTGTGAACCTCATAACAACCCTGCTGATTTCTTCTTGGATGTCATCAATGGAGACTCCACCGCCGTCACTCTCAACAAGTTAAACGACAATGAGGGTACGACAGTTTCCCTTGTTTTCTTGCAGTATAAAGGCCACATGCAGCTTATTTTAGTCAGGAAATGCCACTTAGACAGGAAGAGACTGTTTGAATGATGTAGAATGTTTATTTTAAAATGCATTTTATTTTTATTATTTTATTCCATTTTATTATTATTATTGTATTTTTATTATATATAAGATAAATACAATACAGTAATGATTTATTTCTATAGCACATTTAAAACAACTGGCGTTGACCAAAATGCTTTCCGCACAACCTAATTAAATCCTGTTCACTCTAATCAGATCTAAAAAGCTATACTAAACTATAATTATTTTTGTTAGCGTTATTTTAATGACATTGGAGGCTTTATATCCGTACAAATTAAATAATTATGAATTATATCATGGGCATAACTACAGTGTTCCCACAGTCATGATGATCTGAATAAATATCAATCATAAATATGACATTTTAAAACTCAATGTAAATTCAGAAAATCATGGACATTTTTATATTACATTTTTTAGAAAACATTTAGCTATTTTTTAACTAAAAAGCTGAAAACAGTGTTATCTGAATATACTTTTATTGGATTTATTCATTTGAATTATGTTAATTTTTATATTTTAATTATGCATTTTAATAATTAAGATATTATATATTAATTATTTAATTAAGAAGATTTAGTAATTGTATTATGTGCTTTGACAAGCTTGACAAGCATTTCCTGAGCAGCCCTAATTCACGTCCCGTTCGGAGAAAGCTGACATTTTTCAGTGATCTTCATCATGAGATCTCAAGATCCTGGAAGCAGCCTTTTTCTGCTCGTCTCACTAATGCAGCGGCCTCTGACTTCATCAGTCTTGTTGGTTCTGTGGAGCAGGGCTATGCTAGCATTCCAGTGACTGAGGACACACTGGCCACACACCTCTCGCCTTTGTCTGCTCCATCCTGGAAGTCCCACCCTCTTCTTTCCTCCAAGCCCTGTAGGACCAACCTTCTGCTTCAGCTTTGCTGAGCCGTTCCTGATCTTCGGGTTAGGAAACGGAGAGCTTCCCATGTTTCAGGAGCGAGGGACCGACCGTTCAAACATATTTGTCCCCCTTTGAAATGCTCTCCGATTTCAAGTCTGTGATATCTGCCGCCATGCGCTTTCTGGTATATAGAGGTTTGCCTTTGGGGGAAAGGCGTACCAGTATAAGGTTCTGCCATTCTGCCTGGCTTTGGCTCCAAAGATGTTCACCAAGTGTATGGATGCGGTTCTGGCCCCTTTGAGGCTCCAGGGCATCCGTGTGTTTAACTACCTGGATTGACTCAAACAAGGGAGCTGGTGTGTTGTGACAGGGAAATTCTTCTCCACCAGCTTCAGTCTCTTGGCCTCAAGCTGAACGCTCAGAAGAGCATCTTAACTCCTTCCCAGAGAACCAATGTCTTGGGTGTCCAGCTCAATTCACTCTCGATGCAGGCCTGTTTGGCAGCTCGGGTTTCCAGTATCCGAGTGTGTTTAGCCTGCTTCAAGTGTGGCCATCATGTCACGGTGGGCATTTGTCGCAGATATCTGGGTTTCGTGGCGGCAGCCTCTCTTGTGCTGCCACTGGGACTGCTCCACATGAGGTCTTTCTGTGGTGGATGAAACTCAGAGGAATTTGCCCTTCCTGGACGGCTCTCCGCTTGCTGAGGGTTTTGCACAGTTGCTTCCATGCTCTCGGGAAGTGGAGAGAGCCTCTTTTTCTGTTACAAGGGGTCAGGATAGGCGCTGTTTCCCATTGTCCGATTATCATGACAGATGCCTCCCTGACCAGTTGGGGCACGGCCTTCGAGAGCAGACCAGCTCGTGGCATCTGGACAGGCGAGTTTCTCTCATGGCACATAAACTGCCTAGAGTTGTGCGGCGTCTTTCTAGCCCTGGATCACTTCCTTCCAGTCCTGACGGGTTGTCATGTTATAGTCAGGATGTACAACATGGCGGTGGTGTCTCACATAAACTACCAGCGAGGTCACACACTCTGAACAGGCATGTGCGTTGTCTCCTCTGGGCTTAAGGCAGGTTCACTTACCGGGTGTTTTGAACCTTGCAGTGGACTTCCTGTTGAGACAGCAACTCAGGTCGGGGGACTGGATGCTGAACCTCCAGACGGTGGCTGAGATTTGGAGTCTTTTCAGCGAGGCAGAGGTAGACCTCCTTGCATCGCAGGACTTGACTCAGTGCCCCCTTTGGTTCTCCCTGTCACACCCGGCGCCCCTGGGGATTGACGCTTTTGCTACCCCTTGGCCGGATCTGAGATTGTATGCATTTCCTCCGGTCAAATTGATTCCTGTGGTTCTTTGCAGAGTGAAGGAATGCGGGATCAGACTCCTGTTGGTGGCCCCGTTCTGGCCATCCCAGACATGGTTCTCGGAGTTGCCTTCCCTGGTGGAGCAAACCCAGTGGGATATTCTAATCAGGACCCTACTGTCTCAATTTCAGGGCAGGATTCAGCTGACCAGTTGGCTCAGTGCTTTAATTTCTGCAAGAGTACTTTAATGCCGGAGCATGACTACTTTGAGGATTTACGTTGCGGCCATTATCAGTCGTCCTGGAGGGGTTATCGGGACCACCTTTTGAGTTGACTCCTGACCAGATTCTGACCATTAAGGTGGCGCTTTTGTTAGTGTTGGCCTCTTTCAAGTGTGTAGGGGATATGCAGGCTTTCTCTGTGAGTGAGCCATGCATGGAGTTTCCCCCGGGTCTTGTGAAGGTGTTTCTGCGACCCAGAACTGGTTACATCCCCAAAGTCTTGGCCACGTCATTCCGTTCCCAAGTGGTTGTGCTTCATGCCTTCTGTCCTCCTTCCTTTGCTTCTTCTTTGGAGGAGAGGCTTCATCTACTTTGCCCTGTTTGGGCCCTGAAGATTTATGTAGACTACTCTGGCCTGTGGTACAAGTCATCCCAATGCTAGTGTGCTTTGGTGCTGGCCGCAGAGGGCTTGCCGCCTCCAAGCACAGGATTTCTCATTGGGTGAAAGACGCTATCTCTCTAGCTTATGAGGTGCGTAGACTCCCTTCACCTCTAGTCCTTAGAGCTTACTCTAATAGGAGTGTCGCATCATCCCAGGCTCTTTTTAAAAAGGTCCCTTCTGAGGATATTTGTGTTGTGGCAGGGTGGCATTTTTTTATCAGGTTTTACAACCTGGATTTGGACGCAACTCCTGGTTCCTGGGTTCTTTCTGCATGAACCAACCGACTGAGTTTAGTCTGGTTCCCACTCTTCGGGCCAGACACAGCAGTGCTTAGCTTGGTGTGTGTGGTATATCGTTGTCATTGCTGCGCAGCATTGAGTGAACCTATGAAAGGAAACGTCTCGGGTTACACGCGTAACCCATGTTCCCTGAATAAGGAATGAGACGCTGTGTTTGCTGCCAAGTTCCTTATGTTGCCGAAGAGGCTTCTTCGGTAGAGAATCTGAGGAGTTGATGGCGCGCTCACTATTATTAGGTGAGTGAAGTAGCGCCACTGAGGAGACGCCTGTGACATCAGCCAATAAATTGGCGTGATTTCATACAGTTTCAGATTGGCACCGCCCAAGGGGCGTTCCCAATGCATCATCACTACGCAGCATCTCATTCCCTATTCAGGAAACAAGGTTTTTGCATGTAACCCGAGACGTTTTTTGTTTAAATAAATGTGTTTGTGTGTGTCAGACCTGGACCAGGAGCAGCTGAGTTCATCTCTGAAGGGCATCGAGGACAGTTTGGTGGAGGAATACAAGAACAGCTCCAGTTACAAACAGACCAAAAGCGAGCTGGAGCGAATCGTTCAGGGACAGGACTACAGCACTCGACCCAAATCCAGAACCATCACCTACAACACGTCCTTCTTCCACCAGTTCAACTGGGTTCTCAAGAGAACCTTCAGGAACCTCATGCTGAACCCGCAGACCTCATTCGCTCAGGTCAGTGCCGCCGTCTACATCAGGCATTCACAGATATTTTTATCAGCCTTTGAGCTGAGATATTTAACTGAAGTCCCTCTGAGATTTTAAGACAATATTTCAGTAATTTAACAAGACACATAATGTTATTTTAGTATATTTGAGATACTAGTATAGTTTTAATTATTATTTTAAATGAGTTTTACTTTTATATTTTGGTAATTTTAGATGTCTGTTTATGTCTATATATTTTTTATTAATTTCAATTTCATTTTTAGTTTAGTAAATTAAAAGTTGCCTTGGCAACTGAAATAAAATAAGTATAATTTAAAAAATATATTATATTTTATTTCAGGTATTTTATTTCAAGTAACTTTTTTAATGGTTTTAGTGAAATATAATTCAGGTAATTTAGTGAAATATAACTGTGGTTAATGGTATCGTGACTTGCAGGTAAACAAATAATTTAATCTTTTTTAGTGTTTATTGTTTTATTTTGATTGTTTTAATTTCAAAATGATTTATTTAAATTTTTCTGTTTTCTGTTTTTATTTTAATGTTAGTTAAAGGTTTAGTAATTTTGTTGTTTTTGTCATGTATTTTATTTTTGTTTTGTTATTTAAATGTCTATTTTTATTTTTATAGTTGTAGTTATTTTTATACATCAAGTTAAACTAAATGAAAATTGGATGTTTCCTTGGCAACTGGCTGAAATAAAATAAAAAAAAAATTATTTTATTTTAAGTAAAATAATTTTATATTTAATTGTTAATTTTATGTATTTCATGTTAAGTAACAGGTTTTTTTTTATTGTTTTAGTGAAATATAATAGCTCATGCAGGTAAACAAAAAATATTTCATCTTTTTTAATAGATGCTTTATTTAGATTATTTTCAGTTCAAAATGATTTATATTCATTTTACATTAGCATTTTATTAATTATTTGATTTTCGTCAACTATGCTCATAGATTTATATGAATTCAGTTTGATTCATTGAATATTCACAATATATTTGAAATTCATTTGCTGGTGATATGAACTTAAGCAACACTGAAAATATTTCATTTATATTTTTTCTCTTTTTTTTGTCATTAAACAAAATATATGTGAAAAGAAAATATAGATTTATATATAAATAAATGTTAAAAGAAAATAAAGATGAAGTTTTAATTTGGGTTGATGTTAGTATTTCTATATTAATCTGAGATTGTTTCTCCAGATAGGAGTGACGATTTTCCTGGCTCTGGTTGTTGGAGTCATATTTTTTGGAGTGAAGGATAATTCGAGCGGCATTCAAAACAGGTATGAAAACACATTCATCCAGTTCTATAATTATTTCAATATTTCTGTGAGATGAATCATTTCTGCTTGAATTAGAAGTGATTCAGTGTTCAGATCTGATTATCAAAAGCGATCTTTTCAGCCCTGCTGTTTTCAAATATAATTTACAGAGTAAAATTGTGTTGCAACTTAATATACTTCGTGCCTCATACATTTTGAAAAACTCCTATTAGTTGTCCTCTATCAGTAGTGTGTGTGTATGTGTGTGTTTCAGGATAGGCGTGCTCTTCTTCATCACCGTCAATCAGTGCTTCAGCTCTGTTTCCTCAGCTGAACTCTTCATCGCAGAGAGGAATCTGTTTGTGTGAGTAAACACAGACACACACACACACACACACACACACTAGAGTTGGCAAATGAGAACCGGTTCTTCCTTTAAAAAAAAAAAAAAGAGTTTATCCAAACATTCTGTAGGAGGTGAAATAACTTATGCAAGTAAATAAATGTAGAGTAATTAGTTGATAGTGGGAGTATTTGTAGTTTTAATACAGGTTTATTTATTTTATTTATTATTATTATTATTATTTATTTTAAATAATATTTGTCAAATACTTTGGTGAAATATACAGGTGCATCTCAATAAATTAGAATGTCGTTTATTTAATACACGAGTTTCACAATTTGAGTTGAATTACTGAAATAAATGAACTTTTCCACGACATTCTAATTTATTGAGATGCACCTGTAATTCCTCTGGTGATCACATGACATGCAGGTAAATAAATAAAATAATCTTAATATATAATAAACATAATCTTAATATTTAATTTCAAGTTTTTTGTTTTGTTTAAAAAAAGTTAAATAAAAATTGTTTTTTATAGAATTTTGTGTATTGTTTTAAAAGTACACAAAAATACAGCATTTATATGAAATATGTATTTTTCCAAACGTTTCAATCTAAAACTGTGTGAAAATCAAAGCCATAAATCTAAACAAGTTGTGCTCCAAATTTGAGGTTGATATCACAAAAGAATGTACAGTATTAGATTTTGTTTGGGTGCAGTACCAAACGTTTCCACTAGATGAAATTCGCTTCCCATTCATCCCCTGTAATGTGGTGATTTTTGACTGTGAACAGTACAAGTGTGACTATTATTTTCAGGACCATTTAACCTTTTCAAATCATGAATTTGTTTTGTGGGGTTTTTCCACGTAGAAAGTGCCAAAACCTTCACCAAGTTTTGTACCATTCGAATGAAGTCAAAAATGGCTAAAGAGCACTAGAGGGTTAAGAAGTCATTTGTGATGATTTTTAAGAAGATTTGTTTCAAGAATTTGATTTCTTCTTAAGTTTTGTTTTTTAAAAACTATATTTTTAGGAATACAAAATAGAGAGTTGGACTTATAACCCAAAGGTCGTGGGTAGGGCTGTAACTAACGATTATTTTGATAATCGATTAGTTGCAGGGTGCGAATTACACAGTGACCAGTGACCATCGGGGGGGTCAGAAGATTTGGGGGGGGGTATTTCTTATGTTTTAAATAGGGCTGTCAATTGATTGTTTTTTAAATCTAATTAATTACATTATGTGCCAATTAATTAATCTCAAATTAATAAGATTAATTAATTAACATGCACATCATGTGCCGATTAATTAAAGATAAAGTTGTTATTAAAGATAATAGTTATTGTTAATTTAGAAAAAACTAAATTTAGACATTACAAAAAAGTAGCTTTAGAAATACATTTTAATTCAACATACAAAAACACAAATAAATAGGCTAGTGAAATATAAAATTATTTTTAAAAAGAAACAATGCTCTAAATATAAAACTAAAAGCGCCAGTAGGTGGTGACAAATCCCTGTCTTAATAAATGAATGATTCAGTCATTCATTCAAACGATTCGTTCAAACGGCTGATTCATTCAGAAATGAAGCAAGTGACTGCCTTTATGAATGGCTCACTGAATCATTGATTCAGTCGATTCGTTTAAAAACTTGGATTCTGTGTGTTGATCAGAGACGCACAACAGTTCTCCTTATTTTTGTTGGCGAAATTACTGACAATGTGTCTAAAATGTAATTATTCACACCTTATCTTCATTTTTACTGTAGGTAAAAAACTTTTATGTAACCTATTATCGTCTTTCTAAACGCCAATGATGATTCTGAAAGAAATCACACAGTGTTTAATGTTATCGTAACACGTGCAACTTTCATGCGCATCTGACTAGTATTACAACACGCTTGTATTTTAGCGTTGCTGTTAATGTTGTGGTTATTTTAGCAAATAGTTTTCTCTGTAAATTCAGTTCAACAGCATTAAGTTGAAGAGGGTAAACTTTATCTCTCGACTGAATCTGCACATGCATTTCAGGTGTTCTTGGCCCGTCCAAGCAATAAATGCATGTCTTTGAATGAGCGCTGTAGCGTATTCTTCAACCGCTCAGGTACTGTCAATACGACCCATTTCAGGGGCTGCCAAAATTACATTTTTTAAATAAGTCAGAGCTATACAAATACATATTAATATTTACAAGTAAATCTCCATATTATGCGCAGGCTAGCCTACTTTCTATCTGACCCCCAGCTACATCTAGTTTTGATGTCCATCGGGGGGATCAAGCCTGCTTTATAAGAATGATTAGTTGCCTGATTATTTTTTCGATTAATCGATTAATGGGGTTTTTTTGTTTGTGTTTTTTTTACACAAAGCATACTATTCCACATCCTGCCCAATGCTGTCCTTCAAACAAACGTGCCAACTGAATGCTAGGAAAACATACTGAATATATCTCTATGCTATACATTATGTGTAAAAGAGTTATAAAGCACAGTTTAAACAGACAAATGGACAAAGGACAGTTTAATTCCCTATATTAAAAATGGAAATAATAATGATGTAGATAGTAAAGAAAAACACAAACTCAGTGTTAACAGATGAGAGGAATGTCCTGCAGGAACACCTGTTACTGTCATTTCTTTATACTGTAAATGTAAGAAACGTCTTACATTTATTTTCAATTACACTCTGTTATCCCTTTACAGTTACTATCATAAAATACTTGAATTACATGTTGACTTTTAAACCTAAATTTTACGTCCAATAACAGACCGATAACAGTGTAGTCTGAAGTTTAACGCAGACCGTCAGGACGAGCCTTCATGCAAAATAGAAACATGAATGAATATGTAACATTTACAGAAAAGGATAATACCGTAAAATGCTAATTATGCGCTGAGGAAACCTATCTCACATTAAATGGCACACGCATCTGTCAAAGCGTGTTAAAGATTACGCTAACGCATTAACTTGAGTTTAAAATAAAGTTTATAAAGCGGATAGTTCCGGTGCTTGATTCTGATTGGTTGAGCCGCGTTCGAAGCTGTTGTAAATGACTCTACAAAGTAACATACAGCTTTGTTTACGTTTGCCTGTTGCTCGGTAACCACTTTGTTGCAACCACAGCCGTTTCTGAGGAGCTACATTGTTTGGTGGAAGAATACTGTTTTTATTAATATCATTACACTTTATTTGCTCTGTTTTATTTTGTGAAACCTTACTACGTATATGGAATAACTGTTGTATAAAAGCAATAAGCCTGATATTTTCTGTGCCATTCTTGGTGATTGATTGTAATTTGAATATTTGATTGATTGATTGATGTCGTGGTGGTGGGCGTGTCCTCAGGCACGAGTACATCAGCGGATACTACAGAGTGTCGGTGTACTTCCTGTCTAAGATCCTGTCTGACATCCTGACTCTGCGCACCATCCCGGCCTTCATCTTCAGCTGCGTGGCGTACTGGATGATCGGTGAGACTCACGCCGTCATTGCATCATTCATGTCCGTCTGATATCAGACGTGTGGCTTGATGTGTTTGTGCTTGCTGTGCAGGACTGAAGGCGTCTGCCGAGGCGTTCTTCATATTCTTGTTCTCCATCATTCTGGTGTCGTACACAGCCACGTCCATGACTCTAGCCATCTCTGCTGATCAGACAGTGGTGGCCATCGCTAACATCTTCATGACCATCAGCTTTGTCTTTATGATGGTGAAGAAGCACACAAACACACACACTCTCTCTCACACACAAACACACACACTCTCTAAAACAATGTCTATTTGTGGCTGATGATGATGATGATGATGATGAATGTTCTTGCAGGCTTTGGAAATCAATGAGTTCACCGGTCTCACCTTCTGTGACAAGAGGAACACGAGCGGTGTAGAAACACAAGTGTGAGTATCAATCTGCATGTGACTAATTAACAATCAACAAAGTAAAATCATCAAAAACATGTTACATGAAATAAAAGAAATGTTAATGAACTAAAATGTGTTTCTTGAAATAAACTAAATGCTAACACTTTACAATAAGGTTCCATTTGTCAACATTAGTTAAACTAACAATGAAAAAGACTTCTGAAGCATTTATTATTCTTAGTTAATGGTAATATCAGCATGTAGTAATACATGATTAAAATGCAATGCATCTTTGCATGCATAGATCTTACACGAGGGCTGTCGCTCCAGCCAGAATGCCTGCTTAAATACTGCTTCACTGATGCATCGCAGCTGAAACGCCTTGTCAGTTAAGTTCTCTCAGCCAATAGGATCCTTCCATCAATTTAAGCTACAGTTGCTCCAGTGCATTTTCATGTATCACTCACTTAGTGCCAAAACGAGCTCATTCAACAATATTTCAGTAGCTTCGTTTACATGGACACCTTTTGTTTCAATTGGAATGAAATAATTCTGATTGATGAATCCGAACGTAGTGTTTACATGAACGCTACATAACGTGATGGGGTTGATGTGCGCGTTTATATGTCAGTCACAAGCTTCAATATCGGCTTTGATCTTTTGACATGCGCACACTGCACGAAAATGCAGTTTCCTGCTGGTTGCACATACTATTCTCCGGCCATTGCTTCTTTTCTTTGTTTCAAATCAAGTGAAGCGAGTGAAGAGGTCATTGCACATGCGCAGTTTCGGTTTTCAATCCGATCATGTGTTTGCATGTCCTCTCGATTTGATTAGAATAGGTCTACACCATCCCTTCTAATCTGATCGAAATTTCATGTGGATCGAGCTCAATTAGATCGAATAATGAAGGCTTTTGAGCCATCAATCCAATTACTAACGGATTATTTGGTTGCATGTGAATGTAGCTAGTGTAGAAAACCAACGTGCAATGATGCTAAAGTAATTTTGATAATGTTCTCATCATTTTGTCATTGCAGCTGTTCGACAGGCGAGGGCTTTCTGAGCGATCAGGGCATTGATTACTCAACCTGGGGTTTGTGGCAGAATCATTTGGCTCTGGGAATCATGACCCTCATCTTCCTCATCATCGCTTACCTCAAGCTGCGCTTCATCAAGAAATTCTCCTAAACACAAGCTTGTGGTCTTCCTCACACACTCCGACAACATCCACCACATCCAACAGATATTACACGCACTGTTTCCCACTCAAACACCATCGTATGCTGAAGGAAATCATACAAACACATCCAGTCATGCTGCAGAAACAAATCATGTGAAGCATTGACATTGCTCAGGTTTATTGTTCTCAACTTTTCACACTAAAGATGTGTATCAGAAATCTATTTTTTTGTTATGTTCAAACTATTTTACTTTTTTTCCCAATGGATTATTCAGTAACAGTACAGTAAGTAAATATGGCAATATAGAGTTACTCCAGTTTGACACCTTTTAGTTGGGTTTGTTTGCTGTACATGTTTTTTGTAAGTTTCATTTATATATTTTGTTAATATAAAATACTTCTGTAATTTTTTAGCACAGCAATGTTTAATGAAAACAAATGCTCTGATTATTTTAAGCAAAACAGTTTTTCGTTTAATTTTCCAGTTCCTATGATTCTCATTATCATAAAAACACCTGCACAGTTAAACCAAATAAAAAAAATAAAATATCAAAATATAAAATATATTACAATAATATTTCTATTATTTATATGTATTTTATAAATTGGATTGTTTGTGTTCTTATTTGTATTGCTATTAATTACTTCATACTATGTGTCTTATGTTGACTTGATGACGAACGAGTTTACAGCGTGAGACCGATGCTCCTCCACCGACTGTTGAGTTTACAGCCTGAGACCGATGCGCCTCCACCGAGTGTGTTCAGTTTACAGCGTGAGACCGATGCTCCTCCACCGAGTGTGTTGAGTTTACAGCGTGAGACCGATGCTCCTCCACCGAGTGTGTTGAGTTTACAGCGTGAGACCGATGCTCCTCCACCGAGTGTGTTGAGTTTACAGCGTGAGACCGATGCTCCTCCACCGAGTGTGTTGAGTTTACAGCGTGAGACCGATGCTCCTCCACCGAGTGTGTTGAGTTTACAGCGTGAGACCGATGCTCCTCCACCGAGTGTGTTGAGTTTACAGCGTGAGACCGATGCTCCTCCACCGAGTGTGTTGAGTTTACAGCGTGAGACCGATGCTCCTCCACCGAGTGTGTTGAGTTTACAGCGTGAGACCGATGCTCCTCCACCGAGTGTGTTGAGTTTACAGCGTGAGACCGATGCTCCTCCACCGAGTGTGTTGAGTTTACAGCGTGAGACCGATGCTCCTCCACCGAGTGTGTTGAGTTTACAGCGTGAGACCGATGCTCCTCCACCGAGTGTGTTGAGTTTACAGCGTGAGACCGATGCTCCTCCACCGAGTGTGTTGAGTTTACAGCGTGAGACCGATGCTCCTCCACCGAGTGTGTTGAGTTTACAGCGTGAGACCGATGCTCCTCCACCGAGTGTGTTGAGTTTACAGCGTGAGACCGATGCTCCTCCACCGAGTGTGTTGAGTTTACAGCGTGAGACCGATGCTCCTCCACCGAGTGTGTTGAGTTTACAGCGTGAGACCGATGCTCCTCCACCGAGTGTGTTGAGTTTACAGCGTGAGACCGATGCTCCTCCACCGAGTGTGTTGAGTTTACAGCGTGAGACCGATGCTCCTCCACCGAGTGTGTTGAGTTTACAGCGTGAGACCGATGCTCCTCCACCGAGTGTGTTGAGTTTACAGCGTGAGACCGATGCTCCTCCACCGAGTGTGTTGAGTTTACAGCGTGAGACCGATGCTCCTCCACCGAGTGTGTTGAGTTTACAGCGTGAGACCGATGCTCCTCCACCGAGTGTGTTGAGTTTACAGCGTGAGACCGATGCTCCTCCACCGAGTGTGTTGAGTTTACAGCGTGAGACCGATGCTCCTCCACCGAGTGTGTTGAGTTTACAGCGTGAGACCGATGCTCCTCCACCGAGTGTGTTGAGTTTACAGCGTGAGACCGATGCTCCTCCACCGAGTGTGTTGAGTTTACAGCGTGAGACCGATGCTCCTCCACCGAGTGTGTTGAGTTTACAGCGTGAGACCGATGCTCCTCCACCGAGTGTGTTGAGTTTACAGCGTGAGACCGATGCTCCTCCACCGAGTGTGTTGAGTTTACAGCGTGAGACCGATGCTCCTCCAACGAGTGTGTTGAGTTTACACTGTGAGACCGATGCTCCTCCACCGAGTGTGCTGAGTTTACAGCCTGAGACCGACGCTCCTCCACCGACCACCGAGTGTGTTACTCAGCCTGGGGTTTGTGGCAGAATCATTTGAGACTGATGCTCCTCCACCGAGTGTGTTGAGTTTACACTGTGAGACCGATGCTCCTCCACCGAGTGTGTTGAGTTTACAGCGTGAGGCCGATGCGCCTCCACCGAGTGTGTTACTCAGCCTGGGGTTTGTGGCAGAATCATTTGAGACTCCTGGGGTTTGTGGCAGAATCATTTGAGACTGATGCTCCTCCACCGAGTGTGTTGAGTTTACACTGTGAGACCGATGCTCCTCCACCGAGTGTGTTGAGTTTACAGCGTGAGGCCGATGTGCCTCCACTGAGTGTGTTACTCAGCCTGGGGTTTGTGGCAGAATCATTTGGCTCTGGGAATCATGACCCTCTTTTGTAAACCAGATGTAGTGATGAGGAGAGATGTGAGGAGTGTGTAGTGTAGTGTAGTGGTGGGGGGGGTCAGCGGGCAGAATTCAGTAAGGAGACAGCTGTAGGCAAAAAGCTGTTCCTAAGTCTGCTGGTCCTTGTCCGGAGGCTCCTGAAGCGCCTCCCGGAGGGCAGGAGGTTAGTCTATGGTCAGGGTGAAAGGAGTTCTTAAGAATGCTGCGAGCTCCACGTAGACAGCGTTTCCTCTGGATGTCCTCAATAGCAGGAAGTGGTGTCCCTGTGATGCGTTGGGCGGTTTTCACCACCCTCTGCAGTGCCTTGCGCTCGGCAACTGAGCAGTTCCCATACCAGACTGTGATACAACTGGAAAGGATGTTCTCGATCGCACACCGGTAGAAGTTCACCAGGATGGCTGAAGACAACTGGTTCTTCTTCAGTGTCCTAAGGAAGAAGAGGCGCTGGTTAGCCTTCTTGACCAGGCTGGAGGTGTTTGTGGTCCAGGACAGGTCCTCCGAGATGTGGGTTCCCAGGAACTTGAAGCTGGAGACACGTTCAACAACCGTCCCGTTAATGTGGATGGGGTCATGTGTGCTTCCTTTCTTCTTCCTGAAGTCCACAATAAGCTCCTTGGTCTTACTGGTGTTAAGGAGCAGGTTGTTGTCAGCGCACCATGCGGCCAGGTGCTGTACCTCCTCCCTGTAGGCAGTCTCATCATTGTCTCTGATGAGGCCAATCACCGTGGTGTCATCTGCAAACTTGATGATGGAGTTGGATCCATGCACAGGCCTGCAGTCGTGGGTGTAGAGGGAGTAGAGGAATGGGCTCAGCACACAGCCCTGTGGTACGCCGGTGTTGAGTGTGATGGTGGTGGAGCAGGTGTGGCCTGACCTAACATGCTGACGTCTGTTGGTCAGAAATTCCATAATCCAGTTGAAGAGGGAGGTGTTAATGCCCGTGTCTCCAAGTTTAGTGGTCAGCTTAGAGGAAATGACAGTGTTAAATGCTGAGCTGAAGTCAACAAACAACATCCGTACATATGTGTTGTTATTGTCCAAGTGTGTGAGTACCGAGTGCAGCACTGTGCTTACTGCATCCTCTGTGCTCCTATTGCTACGGTAGGCAAATTGGTGTGGGTCCAGTGTGGGTGGGAGGCAGTTCTTAAGGTGAGCTAGGACCAGTCGCTCAAAGCACTTCATAACAATAGGTGTGAGTGCTACGGGGCGGTAGTCATTCAGGCACGTCGGGGAGGAGTGTTTCGGCACTGGCACAATGGATGTGGACTTAAAGCATGTTGGCACAGTTGCTTGGGTGAGGGACAGGTTGAAAATGTCTGTGAAGACCCCTGCGAGCTGCTCTGCACATGCCCTAAGCACACGTCCAGGAATGCCGTCGGGGCCAGCAGCCTTGCGTGCGTTGATCTGGCTCAATGCAGTGTAGACATCTGTGGAGGTGAGTTTGAGGGGTTGGTGGTCTGCTGAGAGTGTGATCTTGGTGGCCGTCTCCTTGCTGTCACTGTCGAAGCGAGCATAAAAGTCATTCAGCTCGTTAAGGAAAGAGACGTCTGTGACCGTTGGAGTGGAGTTGCTTGGCTTGTAGTCACTGATGACCTGGATGCCCTGCCACATGCGTCGGGGGTCAGAGTTGGAAAAGTGTTCCTCTACCTTTAGCTTGTAGCAGTACTTGGCCTTTTTGATGCCCCTCCTCAGGTTAGCCCTGGATTTGCTGTAGGCCTGAGCGTCATCTGATCTGAAGGCAGCGTTGCGGGCTTTCAGCAGGTGTCGCACCTCCTTGTTCATCCATGGCTTCTGATTAGGGTATGTTGTGATCTGTTTCTCTGTTGTAACACTGTCAATGGTGGTGTTGATGTAATCCATTACAGAGGAGGTATAGATATCAATGTCCGTGTGAGAGTCACAGGCAGCCTGAGAAGCAAACATACTCCAGTCCGTGTATTGAAACCTGTCCTGAAGTAAAGAGTCTGCTCCTATTGGCCACACTTTGATGGTCCTCACTGATGGCTTCACACAGTTGATGAGGGGTGAATACTTAGGGGTGAGAAACAAAGAAAGGTGATCAGACTGTCCCAGGTGGGGGAGGGGGGTTGCGATGTAAGCTCCATCAATGTTTGTGTAAACATGATCCAAAGTTTTGTCTCCTCTAGTGTGGCAGGAAACATGCTGATGAAATTTGGGGAGCACTGTCTTTAAGTTGGAGTGATTAAAATCACCCGCGACAATAAATGCAGCCTCCGGGTGAGCAGTCTGTTGTTTACTAATGGCCGCATGCAGTTCGTTCATAGCAAGCTTGGCATTAGCATCTGGTGGAATATAGGCTGCAGTTATAATGGTGGAAGTGAACTCCCGTGGCAGATAAAAAGGTATACACTTAACCATGAGAAACTCTAGGTTAGCTGAGCAGTGTTTCCCAACAATGACAGAGTTCGTACACCAAGCTTTGTTAACATAAATGCACAATCCTCCGCCTCTGGTCTTGCCGGAGTCATCTGCCGTCCTATCTGCCCGGAGCGTGTAGCGTCCGGCTAGCTCAATAGCATTATTGGGTACGTCGTTGTGTAGCCATGTTTCTATGAAAACCATGAAGTTGCAGTCCAAAAGTCTCTTACTGTGGGTGATGTGAAGTCGTATCTTGTCCATTTTGTTCACACATTAGCGAGGAAAATGCTGGGTAAAGAGAGCCGGAGCGATGTTAGCTTTAGCTTAGTTCTTAGCCCTCCGCGCTTACCTCGCCTTTGTTTACGATCACGACGCGGCCTGGGAGCACTTCCGCCCGGCCGGGTA